CAGCTCTGCAAACTTTTACACATTTCAGTTTCAAAAAATAAGTTTTGTGTCGCATTTTGAAGATGTGTGCAATATGAAGCAAGTCAGGACTTTGAGATTCCTGACAAAACAGTGAATAGTGCACAAAACTTCAGGGAGAAGTCAATCTTGAATCATGCTATCAGATGAAGTTAACTGTTGGCTCTGCAGAAGATTTAGGGCGATTTACAGATTGCATTATAACACCATGATTGACAACAGACAATGCATTCAGCCACACTTCTTCTGTCTCGGGGAAAAAAAACCTCCAAATTGCTTTCTTAAATGGGATTAAGATAGGATTTTCTCATTTGAATGTTCATGTAATGTGGCCCCAGGAGTAAATCGCACTGGAGTTGTTCACAAAAGCCATTAGCTCTGTTCAGTTCAGCTCAGACTGAAGATACAGTCCCATGGGATTCATTTGCAATCGCTTCAATTACTATTGACTTGCCCAAATCTTCTATCTTGCCCAAATATTCTCTCTTGCTCAACTGTCCTCTTCCATGGAGAAGAAACTGTAATCACAAAGCTAATGGCACTCCTAAAAGCTGCTATTTATAGAAGCATTTTGTCCAAAAAATACAAATATTACATACATTATCTTGCACACACCCTGCAGAGTTTCTTAAATCTAGAAAAAATAATTAATTGGATAAGGTAGTCGTATGTTTGTAAATTTGTGTGTGGTAAGATGAACAAAAGAAAGGTGTTTGTGCTATTTAACCTAGCCTCATTGATATAAATAGAAATAAACAAATGCCAGTACAATACAACTCACTACAAACGGCCTCCTAGAAAATGAATTAGCACCTCTCTGAAACAGTTCAAACCAAAACCTTACAGTATAACCTTTATGGAGAATGTAGTATATGGCTGTTACACCTCATTAGTTTTAGCAGTGTGTAAAGAATAAACAGGAACACGTTAAAAGCACATAACCTGCTCTTTATGTGTTTTCGAAAATCCTGCTATGTCCTCTCTCAGTGTTAATAAAGAAAACTATGAGTTTGTCAAGAACCTTTTTCCATGATTAACATCCGCACCAAAGTAGTTTAACACTAACTGTGACTACTGTATATGATCCTGCAATAATACCAGATTTCTGAGAAATGTAGTTCTGCTGCATGTCCCATGTCAGGACTACAGCCTCAGAACACAATAAGCACTCGAAGTAACCTACTTACTCAAGTTAAACAACGTGGCTAGAGAGAAACAAACAAGGAGATCATTTGGCTAGACTACATCGACTGAAATGATCACTATAATTTGCTGACTAAAAAAAGACTTCAGTTCTACATCTACACAAAAATAGTTTTCTTTGACTGGGATAAGATTATATTCCGAGACTTTACTTTACTAAAAGAAAACTTATAACAAAAACTAACATGGATATTCTAAACAGGACTAAATATAAATACATTTGCTTCTAAAACATAACTCATCTCACTCTGGGAAAGAAGGCAAGTAAATGTATTCAGCGAATGTGGAGCTATCTCTTTAATTCCCTGGATTTACATCACACGGTCGGTACAGTAAACAGTGATTCATCTTTGGTGTAGGCCAGTGGGATATAGATTTTTAAAAATCCTATATGATGCCTGGAAAAGCAGGGCTGTTGAAACATTTATGATGACTTCATTTTGACCGCAGGTGCAAATGAGGTCACTCCTGGAGATGGACTTTTTCCTAGAAAGTAGAAGTTTTCCTGGAAGATCAAGTGCCCCTTTCTTTTTTTTCACCTTAACAACTTAAAGGGGACCTATCATGCAAAATGCACTTTTGTACGTCTTTTATACATGAATATGTGTCCCCGGTGTTCCAGGGAACTCACCAAGTGTCAGAAAACACAACCCTCTCTATTTTCCTCCATACCCAAATCTCTAAAAAAGGGGCTGCAACGGATCTGATAAAAACTGATCCAGATTTGAACACTGTCCTGACGTCCAGGACAGGTGGCGCTACGGCTATTGGGCCAACTCCACCAATCAGGAGGAGACAGCCACGGCCATTGCCGTTCGAAAGCGCTGGAGACGCTGTAGTACATAGGCCAGGCCTGTAGGTGGTGCTGTTCTCACAGAATCAGCCCTTGCAAAAACAGGGCTAAAAAAGTGCAAATTGAGCGAAATGAGGCATGGCTAAAATGCATGATGTTTGGTATTTTTTTTTTTTTAAAGCATAAATATGCCTTATATAGGTATAGTCCTACACTATATTATTAAAATATAGCATGATAGGTCCACTTTAAAATAAAAAATAAAATAGATAAAGGATGCTAAAACAGTTCTGCATTTCCATAGGAGCAACAGTGGTTAGTTTAGAGGAGATCCAACTGGACGCTTCATTCAGTTTATTAAATGTAATGTGTAGTCCCATAACTGGTGTGCTGTTGTTTAGTAGACATGCCTGAGATGCCACCTAGTGATTCTGATAAGACCACCCCAGTTAAATTACACCCTCTTTTTCCTGACTCAGCGAACAGAGAAGAGTACGTTTCCATGGCAACAGTAGACAGAGAGATATAGAGAGAGAAACACAATGAGGTAGCTACTCTTAACTCGGCCCATGTATGCCCACGCAGAAACCCACAAAAAAACGCACACATACACACAAAGAGTGTTTTAGTGATACATATAGTATCGTAGATCACATTTATACTTGCTTTAAGTCCTTGCTGTGTGCCAGAAAGCTCATGACAGTACTGCATACTTATGCAGGGTTTAATTTAGAGTTAAAAAGGGAAGATCAGTAGTTCACCAGGAAATAAAAACCTCCTCTGAAGGATGTGGAAGAAGCAAGATGGGAAATAATCAGATCTTACTGGTGACACACTCTGTCGATAAACCCATGGGCAATAAACTAATTTCCCACGTCACACATTTGGAACTTAATAAGAAAGTCTATCCACAAGCGTAACATAACATTTCTGATTTAGTACACACATGCCCATCAGTAGAAGATCTTATGATAGTCTTCATCATTCAAGGTCCTTCACTGGAAATGTTTTTAAAATCCTGAGCAACATGTACATGCTATAATAATGTAAGCTCATAATCAAGTCTATCAAAAGTTATTTTTCATGTTTTTTAAGTAATTATTTAATCTTCTGAGAGGGATCTTTCGCTCCGAACCTAAAATAAACACTTGTATCAAGAAAATGTACCACCTTCACACCAAAAAATACTGCCCAAGCTTCCAATAAGGAAAATAACAACAAAAAAGAGTTGGCAGATTGCATTGAAATTCAAATGAACACATTCAGGAGATGAGACCCATTCTCCCAGGGTGGACTACTGTCCTCTTGGCACACATTATATATAACAATTAGAAATCTGATCACCAGAAATGTGAAAAAGCCTCAGCATTGGTTCAAGTGACACAATGCAGAAAATGTGTTCTTGGTAATACAATCAGCTTTGAATCAAATGAAGTTCCAAACAACAGATAGCAGCACACATTGTTTCAGCATCAACTCATTGTTTTCACAGCTTATCCTGTACCTCAGTGGCTCGTGTGGTAAAACAAAGCAGATCTGCCAGCTGCTACTGCTGCCACAGCTGCAGTTTCCCTGTCAGTCCACTACCTGTGTGTTTGTGCTGTTTATTATCAAGTTCCAACAATAGCAGCTTAGTGATTCATTCAAATTACATAGGAACATGATTTCCATTAATTGGACAGCCAAGAGTACTTTGCAGTTTTTCTGTGGGTGGCTAGAAACCCTGTTGTGCAATGTGTGTTGCTAGTAGCAACCACTATTGGCACAGCTCTAAAGCAGTTTTGTTTTACATTGTTACATCCAGGTATTTATATCTGTTCTTGTCCTTGTTGGAGTATTATCTGTTATTTGAAACAATTCCATGATGATTGGTTAATTAGGTTTTCTGTGATCTGTTAGTGCCAACAAAACGAGTCATCACAAGCCATATTAGGTTAATGTGTTGCTGGTACAATATTCTGAAGGTGTGTTCAGACCAGAGGCAGAGCTTGATTGTGTTTTGGATATTGGTTCTTAACAGCAACTGGGAGTACTTTGTCGGTAAAGTAAGAGGAGCTTTACCTTTATATACACTATACCTCATATATACTTCATATTTAAAGCTTTAGGAGGCCGTAAACAGCAATATTAAGCTTTTCTTCCATTTCTCAATTGGTGGCAGTAAGAGAATCTTAACGCAGATGGGCTTAAACTTGTGCCACAATATGCAAATATGTACGTTGTCATAAAATCAATTTTAATTTTCTAAACACACTTAGTAGGCCGACTTCTTTGTATTTTACTCACTTGTTTTTTTACTGTGAATTGCTTATAAACAGTTGTTCATCAATTGGTGATACTTCTTCCTGCCATAACAGTAACCTCCACACCTGTCCAACATCTGATTTGAAAGGACTGTTTCTTTCCAAAACCTGACAATCACTCTGACAATCACTCCCAATTCAGACAACAATTGTGTATGCAGGTGCAGAGGTAAGAAAGTACGCAGGGTTTGAACTTTTCTCTTATGCTTCATTCACTATTCACACAATTACTTTCAATCACTTCTGTGTGTACAACCACACAGAGTGCAAGACCACAAATACTTCGAGGACACACTGAAAGTTTGTGCTATTATTAAAATGCTTTATAACTGAATACAGATGACAAAGGCATGCAAAAGACAGAATGAGGAAAGAGATCAGGTTCGGCAGCCAGTAGTTTATGTTCATGTTTGTCAAGATTCCTCCTCTCACGAATATTTTTTCTTTTTTTCTTTATGGGGTTAACATTATGTTTTCATTTGCCTTTCTATCTTGAACCTCTCAATCCTTTCACCCTAGTCTCTCCCTCCCACACCTCATCTTCCTCACCTCCTCCCCCTTCAGCTCCCATGTTCAACACCCCTCCTCCAGCTCTATAATCAGGGTGATAATTAGGAACTGCTAATAGTGACAAAAACAACTCTAAGAACGGACTCTACAGAATATCGCCCTCCTTTCTTTACCTGTACTTTGGACCAATGAAAGTTCAGATGCCGGTGTATGAGGCGTTGGTCCAGCTGTCAGTCACCCTGAAGATCAGTGGTGGGTGGAGCTTATATCCCCGGGTGACGGCCTGTGGTTGGTCAGGTTCATCTCTGCTTCCGTGTAACCCCACCCACTTGGCCCATGCAAGGCCTTATGGGTACCAAACTCTGCTGGACATGTTTGGGCAAATGTTGTTTGGTTGAGTGGTCAGGAGCAGTGTTCTCGAGGAATCTTCTTGTGCCGTCTTCATGTATGTTTCCTGTGCAAACAAAGTATAAAGAAGAAAAAAACACATTTCGTTATAGTTGTTTCAGGCTTGGCATTCTACCTTGACACAAGAGCAGTTTACAAAGGGGCTGATTTGGCGAATAAATTGAAATTCCTGAATTAAGACTGAGACAGTCAAAAACGAGCCGTCGACCTGTAGACAGTTGGCTAGAATGGCAACTGGCTCAAAACGATTTTTACCAGCTGGAGCTAGCTGGCTACTTCAGACAAACATATGATATTAGGTTGAAAACACCATCTCCTCATTTTTCTTTTTTAGGTGGTGCAAAGACCCTAATACCATACCCAATAGTACCCATTTCAAGCCACCGTTTTACATTTCTGTAATGCTACTTTAGCAATGGTGCTTGGAGATAGCATTCTCTTCGGCAAACATGTATAAACACAGACACATTATGCACCAACAGAGTCAAATTTTGCAGGAATGAATCACTTTGTATTTATGGAAACAAAAACAAAGTCTAGGGAACTGTCAAAACATTAACAGTACCAATCTTCATATATTATAATTTAGCAACCCCCAAACTAAGCTTTGTGCTTTGTGATGACTTGAACCCACTTTCCTTTGTCACTTAAAAAATAAAATACTTGTCTCTCATCTCCATTAACACAATCAGTTCAAATTAAGCATGCATAAAATCTCAGTTCTACAATCTCGGGTTGATGCTTTGTCACATAATAACTAAGGGTATTTCTTGGCACTGAAGGAAGACGATCGCAGCTTTATTAAAGAGTGGAATCAAATATTTGAATACTGATTTTCTGCCCCTGCATCGTGTGATTTCTATTATCAGTCTTCTGTTAGCACACTCCTTAGACTATGATCGTTTTCTATTAGTTGTAGATCTAACACTGAGTTATCATTGCGAATATAAGCCTTGTCTGAGTCTGTTACACTAAAAGTCAATCTAAATGTTAATAATAATAATAATACCTAAATTAATCATTGTCCAATTCATGTTTCACAATTCTTCCTCTGAATTTTTTATTTTTTAACATTAAATGAAATGCAAAGTTACTTCTTTTTGTATTGGTCTGGACGTCATATTGTGAGCATATATCATTTAGTAATTTACATGTTTAATTAGTGTGAATGCTGTTCCACTATAGTTCTTCTAATCTTTATTCTTCCGCATCTTCTTCTTATTATTATTATTTCAACCCAAAGTTTGCCTCTCAATAACTTCAGCATACTTTCAGCTAGGGTGGTGGTGGCGAAGTCCATAGGCACTTGGCTTGGCAACTGGAAGGTCACCAGTTCACCAGTTCAGTGCAAGACCAAGTGCCTCCGAGGTGTCCCTGAGCAAGGCACCGTTCCCTACACTGTTCCCCGGGCGCCGTACATAATGGCAGCCCACTGCTCCTAACACTAGGATGCGTCAAATGCAGAGACTTTTTGAAATATTCAGCTTTTTAAACTCTTTTTTTAACATGTAACTCAATGGGAGGAACCTTCAAATCCTCTTTTACCTACACTATGCGCCAAATGCTACTCCTTCCACATACTTTCAGCTAGAGACTTCATTCAAACTTTAAAATGACCACAAGACATTCAGTTATTACAATTTTTGATATATTTTACACGTTTTGAGATATTAACTTAGTTTGGAGATTGGTAAAGAGGCCTTCTTCAGATTTTAACATTAGTGTGTATTGCGCAGCTCGTTAAGGCTGTACGGCTGGAGTGCGTGATGTCACAGCTAGAGTGGAGGAGAGCTTGAAATTCGCCGTAAAAACATTTTTTAAACCTGCCATAATTCCCAAACCCTACACTCCTTGGACATCATTTTTCATGAAAAACGTGGGAAAACCTCTCCTACATTGAAAAATAAAACAAGATTAAGCAAAACATTTCAACAAAATGCCTCTTGAGGGCATGAAGTGACAAAAACTTTCAACATGTCTCCATTAAGGCCCATTGTAAATTCAGCCTGATCTTTCCTCAGAGCAGCAGCTGCACACCTTTAGTAAATCTGCCAAAAATGCCACATTATTGACCCAAAGGTACACAAAAAGCAGACTCAGATGCTCGTCAGGGTCCGGACATCCTCCACGCGTTGACATTTTACTGATAGCAGCTACCGTTTTTAAACTATAGTTAGAAATGTAAGAGGTTTATCTCTCATTCAGAACAATGGAAATGCTCTCCTCTCACTGATCACTGCACATCACCATGGTAACCTTTGATCTCTGGGCTCACACACACACAGGTGTTTGATAACGTTGTCACCGTGGTAACCTTTGATCTCTGGGCTTACATACACAGGTGTTTGATAACGTTGTCACCTCAAACACAAACACACAGACTGGAGTTTAACAGACTGTCTCAGCCTATTATTTTCTGTCTGATGGACACTTCATACTGACTTCAACATGTTCCACATATTTTATACATTATTGGTGACGTATGGTTTTAGTTCAAACGTTTGCAGTTCAAATATTCTGCTACTTTTCAAAGCGTTTTTTACTTTCTTTTCTCTTCTTAATACACATTCATTCACTACTACTTACATTTAATATCTAACTCCTTCAGCCTACTTTCAGCTACAGAAACCATTCAACTATTAAATTATTCAGCTATTTCAGGACATTGACATACATTTAGTTGTTTATACCTTTTTTAAACATTTTCTTTAAAATATTAAGCTTCTTCACTATGTGTCCTACTCTTCCAGTTTGACAGTTCACTTTCAAGTTTTCAACAAAGTCATTGCAATGCATTTGAGCTGTAACAATTTTGATTCAAATAATTTCACTTTTCTGCATTTCTCCGCCAAAATCAGCAACACACTTACTTGGTTTTTGTAGCTTAAAGCAGCAGAGACCAATAACTAATAAAATATTCAGCTTTTTCTGCATTTTCAGCTAAATTCAGCAACAAATGTACACAGTTTACAGCATTCGCACGCATTTTCAGCAGGAAATGCATTTTCTAGTTTAACATTACTTTGATCGTTTTTACCACTTATAAGATGTCTTATTTAAGGTTTCTTATATTTACAACTTAATTGTCAATTGTATTTTAAATATTGCATTGTTTATTAACTAAATATATTAAAATGGTTAGGGGCTTCACGAATATTGCAATTCTTTCAGTGCAGGCATGAGCACACGTACACACACATGCGCTCTGGATATGACAGTGGTAGTTGAAAACTCACCAACAGTTATGCAAAGTGCCTCTTAAAGAGTTTAAATGGATTCATATTAAGAATGTTCTCAAAGCCAGACTATTTACATAAGTTTAATGTGAGCTACAACACTAACTACACACCACTTGTTTCCCTTCACACATGGTGACTAATGTGAGGAGCACTGTGACTTCTTGTGCCCTCAACACAAAACTTCTGCATCATTCTTCCTTGTTTACAGTCGATTAACACCTCAATAAATCTCTAGAGACCACAAATGAAATGGAAGAATTGCTCGGTAATGTAAAAAATATTTTTCACAGAAGCTGCGATGAACAGTGAGAACCAACAGTGAGATAACAGCAGCCGCCTGCCTGCATTTGTGTCAGTTTGTCTGTCCAAACAATCCAAATGACATCCAATAATGTGGGGATGCTTGTCACCATGGCGATGCAGCATGAGTCATAGGGAGGTTCGTTATGGAGACAAAGGCCTGAGTCGAATGTATCATTATGTTTTGAGAGAGAGGCCTAGATACGAGCACACATACAAGTATTGTTTATAAATATACTGTATTGTCAAGACAGAGTTTATTCTCAGCTTCTATTTTCCAACATGCAATTCCACACTTGTCAATCATTCTTTCCCTTTCAAAACAAAAGCCTCCTTGCAGCCGAAAATATACTATCACTCTTTCTAGGTTAATGACTCAGTTACCACCCATTTCCTTTATTATCACTTGTTGGTAATGTATTGTATAAGCAGTCTATGATAGTGAATCACCGTAGCCAGATGCTGATTGTGCCACTGTACAATCTACAGTATAATCATAATGTACAATAAGATGACCATTTAGTGATGCTTACAAGAAGTAGTTTTAGTCTGCTCTATCATTATTTTTCTGTATTTACGCATCTCTTCTCACTCTTTTCAGCCAATCATACCAGCTGGATGTAGGGTATGAAGTTGATGTACGTGACTCGCAAGCTCAGCTGTCGTCATCCCTCCAGCTGGTGGATGTTTATTTGAAGCGGGTTTGCACAAGAGATATCTTTGAATGCTTGAGTGAGCCCAGTTATTTATCTAATTAGCTTGACTTATGGCATCAACTGTTTTCATGTACAACATTAAAATGTTTCCATCATTTTTGATGTTATCTTAAACATTTAATGTTATAATAGTAGGCTTCAACAGGAAGTATCACAGTGATGGACTTATTGAGGTACTATCTCTAGCAAAAAACATTATGTGTGGATTTGTAACTACAATAAGTGTTTTGTAAAATAATACATTTACGCCAATGTGTTCTTATGTTTGTGACTTGGGTACAATACTTTTCCTTTAATTAAAATAATTTTAAATCTGGCAAGACATTTGAGTTTGATTTTGATTGATTTGATTTTTTGAGTGCTGAACTTTTAAATTCATGCTGGTTAATCTTGTGATTTGAAGCACTGTGCGACATTGCCTGGAGTATGTTCGGTGAGAGTTAGAGTTTCTGCTAAACTTGTGATACATCATCCTTATCATTTATTAAAACTGAGTGTATTTCCGCCCAACTTAACACTGAGAGCCGTATGGCAGGAGAAAAAGAGAGGGATCCTTCTTCTAGTGACTAGTAGCACAGAAGATAATACAAATTGGAAAATGGGCCCAGCTGCAGTTTCAAAATACAAATTTCCTCCCAGGCATTGGTTAGTGCAGAATGTCAAATTATATCGATCAGTCTGAAAATGTGTTTTGAGCTGAATCAGCTCACCTCTGTACCAATTTTTTTATTTGTCCAATTGTTTTAACTATAGAATGTAGTAAGTCAGTATGTGTAGTGCCATACAGGGAC